CTTCACATGAACCTATTTGAACTACTTTGGGAAGTTGGAAGCAATTGGTCATTAAAATCAGGCCCGGAACTTGAAATAAATTGGACAAAGAGAAACATGACAATGAAGTAACCTAACACATTGAGACGTAATCTGTTTGCTTTACTTTCACCTTCCCTTTCTGGAGTCTGATGAGATGTGCGAGTGAATGATCCAAACAAATGCTAAGGGGGAGGGCTACAAAGAGTAAGGGGGCCTTCAGGAAGTTTCTGATAGGCAGTGGTCAACTTTTGCAAAATGATTTTAAAAAATAGTTTTTAATGCTAATTTCCTAATATTAGGAAACTCAAAGCACTAGGCTTTACTGCCTCTTGGAAGTGGTGTACGTTTTGTTGCAATTTTTCTTTTAGATTCATCTCACCAGGTATCCACTTGTTGGACTTATGCTCCTATTGTCAAGAAGTACAGTTAATTGGCTCCAGCTTCAATCTAGGTACAGCTGAGAGGGTGGTGAGATGGCAAAAACATGGAGAATTCACCCGTAGTACATTCACCACACAAATATTGTGTTGAGATTTTAAGTAGCTAGATACTGATTTCTTTTATAAGGGGGGGGTAGTGAGGAGGGAGGTTCAATTTCCTTTTTTTTTTTTTTTAGACAGAGTCTTGCTCTGTCGCCCCAGCTAGAGTGCAGTAGCGTGATCATAGCTCCCCACAACTTTGAACTCCTGCGCCCAAGCCATCCTCCAGTCTCATCGTCCCGAGTAGCTGGGTCTACAGGTGCGCATCACCACACCTGGCTAATTTTTCTATTTTTAGTAGAGATGGGGTCTCACTCTTGCTCAGGCTGGTCTCAAACTCCTGACCTCAAGCGATCCTCCCCCGCCTCAGCCTCCCAGAGTGCTAGGATTACAAACATAAGGCACCACATCCAGCCTGGTACTGATTGTTTTTTAACAAATAGTTATAAAGAAAATCATGTGGGTCAAATGCTACCTAATTATACATGTATTTTCACTTACAGTCATCCTTGGTGTACTCGGGATTGCTTCCAGGACTCCTCTCCCTCTGCATATACTCAAATCTGTATATACTCAAGTCCCCAAATCAGAACCTGAGTACATGAAGCCACCTCTCCATGCGGGTGGGTTTTTAATCTCTCAAATACTGTATTTTCAATCCGTGTAAACTGTAGTTATCTGAAGTGGATCATTTTTATCTGGCCTTTTGCACAGATGTGGCTATTAGAGAGTTTAAGTGTCTTGAGGTTAGAACAAAAGAGAATCAGCTGAGGTTGGTTGTAAAGGATGAAAGTGTTAACTTCTACTGGTTTTGTGTATACATGCTTATTAAATATTTCAGCACATAATTAGACACTGAGATAAATAATGTCCAAGAGAAGTTATTGTTCTCCCCCCTGAAAGTGTTAAAGCTTTAAATAGATTCATTTTTCAAGACCAGCCAACTTAAGTCAAATTTGTAGGTTGCTTATTTGAACATTATAATCTGAAACACTTTTCAATTCCCCGAGCAACCAGAAATGGTAACATTTCTTAGGGTCTTCAGAATCAGTGGCCTGAAAGAGTCAATGCTCAAAAGATCTCTTTGAATTACCATGCTGGTCTTTCTTACTCATCTTCATATTTAGACGGTCAGTACAGGCTTTCATTCAAAATTGTTTTAGGTTCAGCTATTGCTATTCAGACTGAGTGTGAGCTATAAAGTCCTCAGTTACAGTATATGACAAAAGAGTCACCTCTGTCTTGGCTGGTTCCCCAAACTGTACCTTTCATAAAGTGGAGGGCTGAGGTATCTTCATTTTTGTATCCTCAGAACCTCATCCATAGTTGGTGCTCATTAATGACATTGGATGTGTATGTCTTTGTAACAGGAGTCACGCTTTATAGATGGAGGAGATGGTATGGATAAGCTGGAAGATCTCTTGACACTTTTGAACCCAGAGGATTCTGTATCTTATCTACGATGAGTAGACAAGCCAGCTAGGTGTTATTGGAATTCTTGATTTTTTTTTTTCCCCCCCAAGAAGCATCTCTGGATGTTTTTCTAGTAACACAAGAGAAAAGAATGGTCATTCTCAGTTTTTTTGTGAAATCTTCTGTATCATCACAGAAGATAAAGTATCGTTCACATCTTAGAGACCACCAATGAACTGGGCTGAAACACCTTTCTACTTCAAGATTTAGCTGTGTGTGTCATTCTATTAGGGAAGGAAGTGGAGCTCTGGGTTTTAGAGTAGTGGTTAAGAGTGTGGATTCTGGAGCCTGACTGCTTGGATTCAAGTTCTAGTCCACCATTCACTAGCTCTATGAATGTAGGCAATCTATTTCAGCTTTCTGTGCCTCAGTTTCCTAGCAGGAAAGAAGAGAATAATAATACCAACCTCATATAGTTGGTATCTGTATCAAACGAGTTAATATGTGTGGAGCACCTAAAACACTGCTTGGCACCTAGTAAACACTCAAATGTTAGATGATCATGTTGTTATTCCCCACTTACTAGCTGTGTAACTTTGTTTTGTTACCTTCTCTCAGCTGTGCTTACTTAACTTTTAAAAGGAGCTTCATAATACCTTACCTACCCAGAGCCAAGGGGGTGAAATCAAATAATCTCTTGGAACCAAAGACTTGCCCCCCTTTCCGTGAAATTGTGTTCATCTGTGAGTATTGACAGGATGCTGAAACTTTACAATTCTACTCCATTTCATGGTATAAAAGGGCCAACAGCCCCTTCCAGCCTAGGGCCCATTTTGCCCAAATCTGTTGCAGGGCCTGGAAATTTATTCTGGAAATCAATAATTAGTTATGTCTGAGAAAGTGGAGGCTTCTCTGTGAAAAAAAAAAAAAAAAAAACACCACCAAACATGTACCATGTCTCTTCCACTCCCACCTACATCGAATGGTCTGCATAGCTGTTAAGAAGACAGATCTTATGATCTGGTGTGATGATGCCTTCTTTCCACAATCTTGAAAAAACAGAAGTTTGATTTTTATCAATGGACATTTCCTCTAGACAGGCAGTTTGTTCTGAGACTTAAATTATACCATTGAATTTTTCTGCATTGTCCTGGTGGCTTTTTGATTAAATGTGCCTCAGTTAAGAATCTCAAAATATACTATAATCAGGAGCAAACAGGACAGTATCAATTTAGATACAAGATTAAATCAGGGTTTAGAAAATGCTCTCTTAACTTTCCCATAGTGGGATGTCATGATATGTACACCCTTTTTATTTGCATGGGGATTCCTTTTGAACACATTGCTAGAAATGTATGATTACACTATTAATACTTACAAATATTGTTTTTAGCACTGTTATCAATGTGTGACACGCAGACATTCCTTGCTGCAGATAAAGCAAGACTGTCATTTTACTTATGGCTACAGCTTCCATTTTGCAGAAGAAATTGCTGTTTGTGTATAACACTTGACCACAATCTTCTTGGGGCTTTGCTCCAAGAGAGCTGGCAATGACTATTAAGTCAATCTGACATTCCTCCTGATCCAGCACAATGCCCTGTCCATCTCAGGTGCTCACCACATGCCTGCACACTGGACTGGAATTGAAAAACAGACCTTTAGGTACGACAGGAAGCAGTCCCAAGAGGCAGCTATGCAGCTGGGAAACAGAGCTACAATTTTTCATCCCCACCCTTAGTTGCCAGGTTCCCAGCGTATAATCAGAGTGGTGGAAACGACATTGAGCTGATGTTTGGAGGTTGTTTTGTCTGTCCTGTTTTTGTTTTAGGCAAATTGGGTCTGTGATAGAGACATTACTGATAAGAGACCTTTCAGATGTTTTGCCCTTTAGGGGAATGTGGATCCTTGGGGATCTTCAAATTGCTTTGCCTAACAAGGCAGGTTGTGTGTTATGTGATGTCATGCCAAATTTCATTTAGTTGGTTGGAATGCCAAAGCAGAGAGGGGTGTCCCGCTGCTGCTAGGATTCCTAAGGAAGCCAGCACATCACAGCTACTGAACAGAAAGAAGCCTGCGGTTGGCACAGGGAGTGTGGAGGATAATCATTCCTGCCACGCCAGGGCTGTTTACTCTGCCACCCTATGGCTGCTGGACTCTGGGCGTGGTGGGCGTGCTTGCCTAGTACCTGTTTGCAGAGCATGGAGACAGCCAGGGCAGAGCTAAAACAGCAGTCATCTGAAACCAGTTGTGTGGGTTTTCCTTCTCTGACTCGGCAGCTAAAAATCTGCATTCCAGATGAAACCTGCTGGGAAGCGGAAGAAAGCACTTAAAAAAAAAAAAAGAGCTTCAAGGGCAGTAAATTAACTGCTTTGCGAGTTCTGGGCATTTTGAGATGATCTGTTTCTTTCCTTTGTTTCTTTGATCCGGGCTTTGTAAGTGGCTGTTGATCTGGGTGCACTGCTAGTTTTTTGGCTTGGATGGCCCAGGGTATCTGATCATAATCCAGATGGAAAAGAGGGCCTGTGTAAGGAGTATTTCAGTCCTTTTCTGCTGATTCACTTCTGAATTCCTTGGGCTGCTCCAGGCAGTGGTTAAGGGCTGTCAGGGTCAGCCTGCCGGCTCAGCACTTTCAGGAGCCTCCACTGGCTCACCAATGAGGAAGTTGAATGCCACCAGGAGAACCGCCGGCCCTGGGGCGGAGCTCCTCGTGAAGTCCTGGGCTGGGATTACGGGACAGGCTGACTTTGCCTATGACAAAAAGCCTTTTGTCCACCGGAATAAATACGGAAGTCCCAGAAGAGCAGCCTCCCGTCTGTGTGTAGTAAGGTGCGCAGCTCGGCTGCCTCTGGGCGTTGAGCTCCACAGACTTTTTCCAGCTGCCCTGGGCACACCATCACCACGCAAACCGGAAGGAGAACACAGTGACCTGAAAGGGACCAAGGGTGTTCGCGGTGTGGCTGAGAGCCTGACTCCCGGGTCCTGTTGCTTTCTGTCCTGTAAATTAAGAGCAGATGGAGTGGATAAACTGAGAGAGCAGGGGAAGGTAACGCAGGTCGGAACTTCCACCAAGGGTATCACTGAGACATGGAGGATGTTGGTGAATCTCCGAATGGCAGTGATGTCTTGGAACCAGACAAACCCGAAGCCGGACTTGAAATGGCTCAGTCGATCCTGAGTAAGTTCTCTATGAAATCCTTGTTTGGATTTACGAGTAAATTGGAATCTTCGAAGCCTGAAGAGGAAGATGCTGTGCTGAAGGCAGTCCACAAATTAGGTGTGGATCCCACACCTGGGCAGGATGAGCCCAGCACTGGCGCGGATCAGCAGGAGGCAGAGGCTCGGGTTCCACCCGACCTCAGAAATGATGGGAAGACTGTGGAGACAGAGTCAGAGGGAAGTCAGAGGAAAGCTGAAGCAGGGACTTCTCTTCCTGGTCAAGAGCTTTTTCCACTCACTGCTTTGAGTGTGACCAGAGACGATGCCATTTGGGTTCGTGGGACCCTCGTGCACACCACCAGTGATTCCGATTCTGATGACAGTGGCCAGGAACCAGAAGAGGGAAGCAGCACCAATGGCCCAAAGTCTCCCAGTGTTGTTTTATCGAAACCATCTCAGGATCCTGAAGAAAAACCAGGAGATCCTAGGGAAAGTATTGCCGCCGGGGAAATAGGTGATGCGGAGCTCTGTGCAGAAGATTCTCAAAGGACTCCACCTGAGATAAGTAGCAAACTGGAATCTGGCCATAGTGGCCTTCAGACAGAGCACAGCCACAGCCAGGGCCAGGCTGAAGAAGCGTCTCAAGTCTTACCTGCAGTAACAGACCAGAATTTGAGTGTCGGCATCACAGAGGATGCCTCTTCTAAAAAAGAAGTCCCTGGAGAGAAGTCATTCCAGCTTCCAGCTTTTTTTAGTGGCCTTCGTGTGCTGAAGAAGGGGGCTATAGCTGAAGGAGGGCAGACCATCACTGAAATTAAACCAAAGGATGGGGACCTGGCTTTGCTCAAATTGACCCAGCCTGTGCAGAAGTCCCTAGGGCCACAGACAGTGAGGAGTGGGGAGAAAGCAACTGATCCGAAGGCCACTCCCACTCTGCTGGAGCAGCTCTCTCAGCTGCTCAACATTGACATGCCCAAAACCGAACTGAAGGCAGCAGACCCTGAGTCACCCAGGAAAGAAGAGATGGGCTGCTCTGCTGACCAGGACAGCCAGAGTGGCCCCGGAGAAGCCCAAACCCAGGACAGCGAGGTCAAACCAAAACCACCAGAGACTGCCCTGGAGGCCTTTAAAGCCTTATTCATCCGTCCCCCCAAAAAGGGGACCACGGCAGACACCTCTGAGCTGGAAGCTCTCAAGCGCAAAATGAGACATGAGAAGGAGTCACTAAGAGCTGTGTTTGAACGGTCCAAGTCAAAGCCAGCGGATGGCCCCTGTGATTCCAAAAGCGTATGTAGCATTGAATTTTGCATTTTGTCATGAAACGAGGTGCTGCTGTTTTTTTTTTTTTTTTTTTCAGGTTTCCTGCCAAAAGTGAATCACAGTTGCCTATTGTTATTGACTCCTTTAGGTGAAAAACGATGATGATGAAATTATATTGCCCTTGTAAGGAGTATGGAGTTGAACAGAAGTGCTTTTCATTCTTTCTTGTATCTTTCCGGGATAGTATAAGAAGGATGTGGGTAAAGATGTGCAGGCAGGAAAGGGTAACTGTCACTTTGAGTTTAAACATTAATTGTAAATGTACTTATAAAAACCGAGCAGCATGAGGAAGTGATGCAATATGGAAGTGTAGCTTGGGTTTACAGGGTTTCCTCACCACTTAATTATACCTCTGTGGAAACTGTATCTTTCCTTTGAAAGCATACCATTTGGCAAGATATGTGTCTGTGACGTGATTAACACGTTCCGCGTTGGTTGGGAGACTTCCTGATTGAGTACTGGATTTAGAATGAGGCCTGAGTTTCAATTCTAACTGCCATTTACTGGCTGGGTGACCTGGATAATCGCTGAGTCTCTATTCTCCCCATGTGCAAAATGAGGAAAATAAGTCTTACCTTATATGGTGGTTGTGGGGATTAAATGAAGGTAACTCGTGAGAAGCATCTAATTAATGGAAGCTGTTATTATCATTGAAAGAAAACTACCTCAGGTAATTTATAAAGACTAGCAAGCACCTGTCCAGTAGATCTTAAAGGTTTATAAGAACAATGAATAGAATTTCTTGCTTAATATCAATTCAGTATATTAGTATCATTCCCTCATATTTAATATATTCAGTTAAAATGTTAAAAGTGAAAGTTTTTGGCACAATTATCTTTGGTTATAGTTAAAAAGTAAATATAGCATTCTCTTAGTTGTAAAAATCAACTCCTATAAAAATAATGTGGATACGAAGGCAATCTCATTCATATTTTATAGGAAAGAAAAAAATTGAAATTAGCAATGTGGGGTGCTTAGAGATGTGTCTTGGTAATGCTCATGGAAAATGCAAAATTAGTCTTTATAAATAACCCTGGAGTTGTTTGGGATACATTTGTAAACATTCCTATAAAAGTACCTGAATGTAGTATATTGGTATCTCTATCTTCAGCTCAAAGTATATTTGTGCTTTTTAGATAGTTATATAATAAAAATCATCTATTAAGGGTATGATATATGTACTTAGCCTTGAGCTTTTTGTTGTTTTGTTTTTGTTATTTTAAATTTCCACTTTGATCACCTTACATTTTTGGAAAAGGATCATACTGCAGTAAGATATCTCAGTTACAGTGAATGAGAACAATATGCAGCTGGCCATTAAAATTAACTTTAGAATCAGGGTTAGCATATTTGTTTTTAGGAATTAATTGGCTCTGGCCACATTTATTTAACTTATTCTTTACCTGCTTTTTCAACAGCCTGACCAGAGCCCCACTGAGCAGGACGATAGGACTCCTGGCAGGCTCCAAGCTGTCTGGCCACCCCCAAAGACAAAAGACACGGAAGAAAAAGTGGGATTGAAGTACACTGAAGCAGGTAATGTGAAAAGAAACCAGGGACCCAGGAATGAATCTCTTCCTGCAGTGGCTTTTAGGTCTAGATTAGTAGACTCTCAGAATCTGGGATTTTGTTTCATTATAAAATGTAATGCCGAAGGCTTCTCTTTTGTGCTTTGCGGTTGAAGTGAACCTTTGCATTTGTTAACGAATCTCTTAGAGATGAAAGATGAATGCAGTGGAATGAATGAAGTAGGAGAACCCTTGGGGAACTGATGGAGAAGGTAGATTACAAATCCCCCAGGAAGCAGGTGGTTGGTCCTCATATAATGTTTGTGAGCTGGCAGTGTTGCTGGAAGAGGCAGAGTATGTTTCTCCAGAGCCGCAATCTGATTTGTTGTTTGTCTTTGAGTAATGCTTTTGAGGTAAAGGAACCTTGTGCAGAGCGAATGTACAGATACCATATCGGTTACTCGTTCACTTTGGTTAGACAAAGCTTTATTTAATGCATGGCCAATTTTAAAGCAACCTAACTCTCTGGAAACCTTCCCAGGAACTTTACTTGAGTATATTTAAATGGAATGGGAATCTAGAGGTTGTTACTCTTTAAGTGAAAGTTTCATGCAAAATTTTAAAAAATGCTAAAGGATTTGAGGACAGGTACATCTAAATTGGACGTGTATGTACGTATCTCTGAAACCTCTTTGCCTTCTTCCTGATATTTGGAGATTATCTATACATGGCTTATATTTTGTTGGTTGTCTTATGTATCTGTGTATAATAAGGTCTATCTATTTGGTTATAGAAAAATACTTCTTTCCATTCCTGTTCGTTGATAGATATGAATGAGTCAAAGTTTGGGTGGTTCACTAGGTTTTTCTGTCATATCATCAAATTACTCCAGTGATTGAGAACACGTTGGCAGGTGAATCTTGGGATCATTTCTATCCTCCATTTACACAATTGCAATTTATGACTTCCCCAAGATGTTAGTTACTTCAGAGTATTTTTTTCTGCAGTGTTTGACTTGCAGAGTTAAAACTATCATATCCTTAATGAAAATATATATAGCTGTTTCAGTCTTCTTGCCCACATTTGATTTTCCAAAATTGGAATGCTTGTAGTTGCAATATCAAACTGCATGCTGAGTTATTTTTTTCATAATCTGGCATGGTATGAGTGGTTAAAAGTACTAAAGTTTGCTTTAATAGAAAACCAGGTTTCTATGGGTTTTTATTCCAATTTTATTTTTTTGAGATAGGGTCTCATTCTGTCACCCAAACTGGAGTGCAGTGGTGTGATCATAGCTCACTGCAGCCTCAAACTTCTGGGTTCAAGCGATCCTCCAGCCTCAGCCTCCCAAGTAGTTAGGAATATAGATGTGCACCACCACACCTGGCTAATTTTTTAAAAAAGTTTTTGTAGAGATGGGTTGCTCAGGCTGGTCTCAAACTCCTGGCTTCAAGCGATTCTTGTGTCTTGACCTCCCAAAGTGCTAAGATTACAGGTGTGAGCCGCCCTGCCCAGCCCTTATTCCTAAATATTGGTGATTTTAGTCTTGTTTCTACCAGTGTATCGTGGCAATCTTCCTTGTGATAATGGGCATTTGCTGAGTGGAGAAGGAAATAAATGTCACAAGTGGTTTTTGAATCCACCTCAAGTGATATTTTGGGGGTGTTTATACCTCTACAAATATTCCTGAGTCTTTGCTTTCTATACTCTTCATTTTCATAGGCTCAGAGGAGCATCATAATCAAGTCTTTTTTAGTATAATAAAATGTATTCTCAGAGCTACTTAAAGTCTTAGATAAGATGGGGAAAAGGGGAGGAAGGAAGGGGCTAATAAGGGCAGTTCTATTGGACGGGCTCTGCCAGCAGCCTTACACAGTGACAGAGGGGCCGTCTGGAGAAGGCCTGTGGCTCCCCAGCCAGTTCCCTCAGGTGGCTCCCGTGCTGTACTACTGCACTCCCAGGTTTAGTGCCCACCTCCTTGAGAGCCTTCTAGATGCTCATTAATCTGCTGATATACTTTGAGGGGGAGGTTGGGGAGAGACTTATTTTTTACCCCATTACTGGATACTGGTATATGGTTGCCTCACCATTTATTGCTAATTTTGAGAAAGTTAATATTTTCTCTGTAATTTTCTTAAACTCTGTTATTCAGAAAACTGGAGTCTTATAAACATTTGGTTTATAATTGAACACATTTTGTGGTGTTTCCATTGGTTTCCCCTCCCTTAGGGAAACACACAAAATTTGTCACTCTATAAGGGAGCACAGAGATGGAAATTAGATCCAAGATAGCTCCAGGTGTTCCAAGGCTTGTGCTTTTACATCTTTCGTGTTCTTCATTTTTTCTAAAGTGTATTGTACATTAACTTAGTGAAAGGGGAGGCTAAGACCCTAGGACTCCTGTTTCATGTATGCTGTTGAGTTCTGTGCTGTTGACAGCCAAGCCCAGTCCTCAGCAGAGCTGGGGGAAGATGCTGGCTTTCTTGATGGGCCCCCACTGTCCTGTGCTGCCCTTGACTACATCGGACTGCCATTGCTCTGATTGCTCTCTATTCAGAACTTACCATTCAATACTCTTAGGGCTTAAGAAATCACCTAATACTTTAAATTCACTTTTGTTTAAGATGAACATGAAAAGAGTTAGAGAAGCTGCCCTTTTAAACTATGGCTTTGGAGTCCTCCCAGCCGTATGAGGGTAGCTGACTACTGTTGCTGGTGCCCACTGCCAGCGTGGCGCTCCCCCACTACTCCCAAAGCCACCAGCATCACGTGCAGCTGCTGACACTGTGACCACTACCTCCCTTGGCAGCTGATGCCTTGATGTCATTCCGATGAAACTGCCCACCATCGAGGGCCTGTCTATGAGCTCTTGGAGCCTTAGTGATGTGCCTGCTGTGAGAAGCTCCAGCACCCTCCAGAGCTGGCACTCGAGGGACTGCTGCAGGTGCTGGAGCCGACCTCTCCTGCTGGGTAGGGGTGGGGGCTCATGATGCTAATTTACTGCTGTGCGAATTGCTCTGCTCAAATGAAATCGAATCGTTTTGCCCCAGCTCTTGTGCTGTGCTTTCTTATGTTATCAGTGTGATTCTGCCTTGTGATTAGAATGCTTCGCAGTAATTTTGAGGGAAGAGATCATTTCATTCCCCTTTTTCTTGTGGTGGGGTTGGGATAATCTGAGGGATAAACCTGGTGCTGCTCTCAGAATTCTTTGTCTTCTGAATATAGGACCTTGTTATTGAAACAAACTTGTGGAATGGTCTTCCTTTTTTTAGGACTTTTCTTTTTTAAGTGGGCTCCTCAGATTCTTAAATGGTTAATAAACTCATGGTGAGTTCACGCTGTCTTTTCTATGTGTACACCAGACATGTTTGGATCCAGTAAACCTGAGCAGCAAATGAGACTTGGGGTTAACGTAAAACCCAATCCTTGAACAAAGTGGAAAGGTGTTTTGTGATTAGATACAAGGGGGACCCAGGAGGAAAATGTCTACCTTTAAATTGGATATGTGGAAAAAATGATTTGTCTGATAGAATAACCAGAGTTCCCTCTATTTCACTTCTAAATACACTATCCTATACTATGTGGTGAAGTTATATAAGAGTCAGTAACTTGCCCAAAGGCTAGGATGTTCTAGGTAATTAAACCATAGAGGTGGTGTAGGGCTAAACTTCTATTTATCCCAAACTCGAATGAAAAATTTTTCTGAACCACATTAGATCACCATTTTCCTTTTCCTTTGTTTAGTGCAAATAAATTTTATTTTCTCTAGGATGATTACATATATTACTATATCAACCAGGACCCTGTCGGGAATCAGGTGACACTTGAATTGGGTGATTTAAGGGGAGTTTATTATTCACAAAGGTGTGGGCAGGGTTCAGGATGTGCAATGAGAGATAGAGCACTGCTCTGGGGCCAGTAACAATGAGAAGCTTTTACCACCTCTAGACCTGAAGGGGCAAGGGTAGCAGTAGCCATCCAGGAAACAATGAACTTCAGAGGGAAGCTGAGTGGCGTGGAGATGGCTGCCGGACAAGGCCTGTGGCCCTCGGTAGAGAGAGATGGCCGATCCCTGGGGACCTGCCAGGCTGAGAGCCAGGGCAGACACAGCCCGACTACCTCTCCTCCTACTCTCTAGTCTCCTGCCATCATTCCCATTGGTCAAACTCAAAAAGAAGTCAGAGGACTGGGAGCCACTATAGACCATTCCTTTAGACCAGCCAGTGGGGCCCAGAATAGGGTCCAGACAGGAAGAGTGGACCTGGAGAGGCAAGAAGAAGATCCCCAGCACAGTCACACTGCCAGTGATGAGCAGCCAGCAGGCCCCATGTGGAGAAGCTTCTAAAGCCAGCCTGGTTGCAGTGGCACACACCTGTAATCCCAGATTCAGGAGGCCAAGGTAGGAGGATTGCTAGAGCCCAGGAGTTAGAGGCTGCAGTGAGCTATGATTGTACCACTGCATTCCATCCTGGGTGACAGAGTGAGACCCCTTCTCTAAAAAAGTAAATAAATAAAAATAAACCTTGCATGGAGAAGAATGCTCACACACTTGCTTGCCTTTTTATATCTCATAACACAGGTTCTTAGTACAAGGGCATGAAGAGAAACTCCTATATTTATCATACTGTGGGAGGGTTATATTTTCTACTCTCGTCAGTTCATAGAAAATATAACGTCTATCATTCAGAGTCTTGTTATCTGGATACTTACTTCACCTTAGTGTGAAGGGTTTGTTTACTGATCTCAGAAAATCTTCCCTAAGTTTTTAAATGTTTCCCTATGTTATAAAATAAAATTTGAAAATATCCAGGAAAATCACAAAAGAAACTTTATGATTCCGTTTCAGAGAAATCATTGTCAACATTTTGAAATATGGTAGTCCTACATTAATTTAATACTAAAAAATAAAAATAAAACTTGGATCATATTACAGATTGCTCTTCCTGTTTGAACACTAAATGATTTTTACTAAATATTATCGATATTAATAGAAATTTAGTTTTCAAAAGTTATAAATAATGTTTTATA